CTGAGACACCAGAAATTTGAATATTTGATCACTTTATGGTGTCACATATGTCACATAGCTGTTGCTCATTCTTTCTTATTTTTATCTGTCTGGGTTCAAAAGACCTATTTTTAAGTTATAAAGTTCTGCTTGATACAGTCTATCGTTGAAACTGTTGGATCTACTTTGCATTTCATTCAATGAATTCTTCAGTTTCAGAAATTTTTTTTTTTATATCTAGCTCTTTGGGAAGTTTCTCATTCATATCCTAAATGGTTTTTTCTGATTTCTTTGTATTATTTTTCTGATTTCTGTGTTTTCTTGTATCTCACTGAGCTTTTTCAATTTATTTTGAATCATTATTTTGAATTCTTTTTCTGAGATTTCACACATTTCTTCATTGGAATCTGTTGCTAGAAAATTACCATGTTCCTTTGGAAGTGTCGTATTTCCTTCTTCATGTTTCTTGAATCCATATTTCGGTATCTGTACATCTGCTTTAACAGTCACTTCTTCCAATTTTTTGAATTTGCCTTCATAGGGGAGGATATTTTCCGTAAGATATATCTATCTGTGGTGTTAGTTGGGTACATCACTTTGGCTTTGATTCCAGATGCATGCATTAGTGTAGTCTCAGTACAATTTCTTTGGCTGTAGACAGTATCAGTTGTGTGTGATTTCCTCAGCAGCTTAAGGTGCAGTTGTTAGTTGTTGCAAGGAAGCATTTGCTGGAGATGGGAACATCAGGTGGGCCCATCCTCCAGCCCCAAGAGTGGCAGCAGCAGGCTGAGCATGCCTGTCCTTGGGCCCCGGGGCAGTGTATGCTGGCAGTGATGTTAGAGGGTCCAGGTGGGCTGATTCTTGGGCCTCCAGGAAGCTTGCTTGGATGCCAGCAGTAGCATGGTGGGCAGGTCCTCGGGCTTGCTGCCCATAGACAGCAGGTGTGGTGCGGGCAGTGGCAGGACAACCCTCTGATTCCCAAGTGGTTTGCGCTGGTGTTGGTGGTGACTGTGACGGCTGGGTGGCTAGTCTCCAGGCCCATAGGTGGTACAGTGGGTGGTGGTAGCAGCAGGTTGGGTGGTCCCTTCCTGAGGTCCCTGGAAGGAGTGCTCAGGTGTTAATGATAGGTGCACCCTCCAACGCGTGATGGTTGTGCTTGGGCACAGGGGTAGGTGGAGCCAGGCTGGATAGGTCCCTCGGTGGTGTGTATAGGGCTTGGCCATGGTAGGCAGGGGTGTTTTTCTGTGGCAGCAGCCATAAACAGGTGGGTTGGGAGCATGCACTTTGGCCCCAGATGGTATCTGCGGGGCAGGGTAGCCTGTAATCAGGCTTGACAATGCACAGTAGTGGCTCTGCTGGCTCACTCCTAGTGGCTTGTATACTTTGGCCCTATGGCAGCACCCAGCTGTGGGTGGGGGACTTTAATGGGGTTTCAGAGATGTGGATATGCAGGGACTGTTGGGCCTCAGAGAAGGATGCAGTCTGCTGGGGCCTGGGCTCTCAAAATGGTGCCCTGCTGTAGCTGCTTAGGACTGGGGCAGGGGAGAGGGCGGGGATGAGCTCCCTCTCTGGAGCAGTGCCATCACGTAGTCCCCAGGCTCCCTGTTTGTGTGGGTTGAGGGTTTCTCCAATGGCTGGGATTGCAGGACTTCACAATGGGAATGTGGATGCTGTTGGAGGTCACTTACCCTTCTCCAGCATGGGAGAGCCTCCCCAACCAATCCCTGCCAAGCACCCTGCCTTGCTTCCCTCTCCTTACTTGCCTCAGATGTTTCCTGTCATTCTGTTGTTAAATTCTAGCAGTCTCTCTTAGGTGATCTATTCAAAGTGTGATTTATCTAGTACTGTTTTGGTGGTTCTTCAAGCAGAAAGCAAGTACCAGAGGCACTTTAGTCAGCCATCTTGAAACCCACTCCATTGTTTTCTACTAAATGGCTTGCTGTCCTCGACCATTTATGTACCCGTTAGGCATCTTCCTACTACTTTTGAAATTAGAGAACACCTTCATATTTCTGGTATAAATTCCAGAGACAAAATATAGCCCAGCAGATCTCTGGGTGACACCTGGTGTAAGTCATCTAGTCAGTGCAGGGAGATGTGGGTATGCAGGGAGAAGGCAGGGCTATGTGGTCCAAATAGGACTGACTGAATGGGCAATTCCATCTAGAAGGGGAATTTAAAAGTAATCATGTTGCTCCTGAGCCTGTCTGGTACCACACACTGTATTGGTCATAGAGCTCTGTAAGTTCTTACTCTTAAAACAGAAGTAACTGAATGCCTTACCTAGAATGGGTTTAATAGATAAGGTTGGCAAATGGCATGTATGGGGAGGAGAGAAGAGTGGAATCTGCTAAGGAAGGAACCTATACAGCCTTTTTGCTATTAGCCTTGGCACTGAAACATGAGCTATGTCCCCTCTATCTAGTTCTAATGGAACAGTACTGAGAAGCTTCAGACATTCAACTTTTCAGTGGCAGTTAGGGAAGCTAACGGAATGGACTTTCTTTTAAAGGAAGTCATGTCAAGTGTTTGCTTTGCTCACAATCAAAGTAGAGCCACCAGAAAGACACTACCTTTTACCTTTGTTGAACCTACTCATATAGGAAACTTTTGCTGGCAAGATGGGAGGGGAAAAGCCAGTCCGGATTTCTGGGCATGTCAGCTGTGGAACTCAAGTTGACCCAAGGTCTGAGAAATTCAGGGTGTCCACTTTCTTGAGCTCTGCAGAAATGGAAGTCTTCACAGAGCTACACCGAGTACCCTGACCCAGGGAAACACAGTATGGGCACATAGGAAGCACACTCAGGCCATGACTATTTGTCACTAGAGAAGCCAAAGCCTAGAGCACAAGGTTAGGTACAGAACCACAACTGGGGAATCCCAGAACTCTCACGGTGAAATAATTTCTGGGTCTATGGTCAGAGTTTCACTGATGGGGGAAACCTCTATTCTTGGGTAGATGTTCAAGGAGAAAACCAGCTACTTATAGGGGGAAAGACTTCACTTCAAAGTGTTGGAGCATGCTGGGTGTGGAGGCTCATGCCTGTAATCCCAGCACTTTGGGAGGCTGAGGTGGGTGGATCGCCTGAGGTCAGGAGTTCGAGACCAGCCTGACCAACATAGTGAAACCCTGTCACTACTAAAAATACAGAAAATTACCTGGGCGTGGTGGCAGGTGCCTGTAATCCCAGCTACTCGGGAGGCTGAGGCAGGAGGATCACTTGAACCTGGGAGGCGGAGGTTGCAGTGAGCCAAGATTGCACCATTGCACTCCAGTCTGGGCAACAAGAGCAAAACTCTGTCCCCCCCCACCCCGCCCCCCTTCCCCACAAAAAGTGTTGGAGCTTAGTTGATTACTGATGATGTAAGTAAATGTTAATTCTTTTCACTGGCACGTTGGGGAAGCAATCTGGAGAAAATAATATTCAATATGAGTTTGCAGGCTACCTACAGTTAAAGTCAGGGTTCTTAGAATGAAAATATTGCTACAGGGATTTTAGAATCTTGAAAGAGGAAAGGCCTTGAAGTCCTGGCTCTGAGTTTCCTCCAGGTTGGAAGTAGCATGGGACTAGCTTAAGTCCATTTTATAGTTGATACTTTTGATTTTACAACTCACTTTTTTCACAGCTTGAACGACAAACAAAAATAACGATTCTGCAGAAAGCCAGTGGTACTTAAACTAGCTGATGAGTCAAGACTCAGTTAAACAGCTGGTGTGTTCTTTTAGAACTAGATGGTTTATACTAAGTACTTGATAAAATTAGATAAGCCCTGGGTCTTTGCCAGCTTTTGGGAACTGAACACCCATGGCAGTGCCCAGAGAGCTGGGAGTTGATTTGTGTCATCTATTTTAAATAGGCAGTGTCCATGGGGAGAGCTATGTATATTGTTTTCTAAGGACTGCATTTAATTAAGTCTACAAGTCATAAGTTATTGAACAGAATTTTAAAGGGAATGTTAAAAATTATATTGTTATTGGACTCCCTAAAAAGAATCATTTCTGTATAAAATCTTTAGGGATGCACCCAAAGTCAAAGGCAGACTGACACGAGAAAGGGAAATTTCTTAGGTCTGATTAGTGTACAGTAGAAAAGTCATAGAACTTAAAGGGGGTACAGGTACTACTGAAAGAATACACTTCTTTGCTGGATCATAACTAACCTACAACCTGTATTACTTGCAAATACAGATTATTTAGTCTCAGTTGCCTTGTTAAATAGTTTGAGGGTAGAAGAGCTCTCTTTGGTGAATTAATCAAATAGTCCCACAGGTTGCCCAGAGCAAAGGCAACCTGTGCCCAGAATGCTAGCACTTTATCCCAAGACTCAGAATTAATGACGATACTGGGTCAGGCGGTGGCGCATGTCTGTAATCCCAGCACTTTGAGAGGCCAATGCAGGCAGGTTGCTTGAGACGAGGAGTTTCAGACTAGCCTGCGCAACATAGTGAGACCCTCATCTCTACAAAAAATAAAAATGAAAACAATTAGCTGGGCTCAGTGGCATGTACCTATAGTGCCACCTACTTGGGAAGCTGAGATGGAAGGATTGCTTGAGCCCAGGAGTTTGAGGATGCAGTGAGCTATGACTACATCACTGCACTCCAGTCTGGGCAACAGAGCAAAGCCCCATTTCTTTAAGGAAAACAAACAAACAAAAAAACCAATGGCAGCACTCGTCTTGACTATCAGAATTATAACCCAAATTGCAAGGGGAGGAAGTGTCCCTGAAATCCTGTTTAGAAAACCATAAACAAGGAAACACTTGTTTGTATACAGTTTGAAGGGTGTTACAGCTAGACTGGCAATAGATTGTTCTGAACAAGTTAGTAGGGCAATAGTTTTGTTTCTTTAAAGGATTAACATTTAGGCATTAATGCGTACGTGAATGTTTGCCTAGAAGTCCTGTTCCCTATATAATAATACTTCGATAACCATTTTAAATGCCAACCCTTCCTTAATATAAAACTTTTGCGTTGTTATGTTAAATAAACTATGTTTTCTCTTTATTCTTTTCTTTTAGCTTTATCTTCAAGCCAGGATGAAGGGAGACTGGGCAAGACTCTTACGCCCCACACTGCAATTTGGTCTTGTTGCCGTATCCATTTATGTGGGCCTTTCTCGAGTTTCTGATTACAAACACCACTGGAGTGATGTGTTGACTGGACTCATTCAGGGAGCTCTGGTTGCAGTATTAGTTGTAAGTATACAGGTCAACAGCCTACATCTTGATATTGTTAAACATTTAGATAAGTAAATAGAAAAAAAAAATCCCCAGTGAGAAAACTGCAGTGGGCAAGAATCTTAGTGTTATTAAAAGTCACTTCAGGATACACAGCAGGTTAAAAACTAGGTTACTCTTTGTAAAACTTGGTATTTTTGTAAAATCTTAGTATTTTTATTGTAAAAAGCTCTGGCTAGAAATAGTTTTTTTAGGGGGGTATAAATTGAAAAAACTAATTCACATGTAGAAATAACTCTTTTATTAAGTATTGGCAAAATGAAGCTATTTGCTGAAGACATAACAAAGCAACTCTTACTTAATTTGGAATAATCTTTAAAAAATCCCAGTTAGTCTCTAATTTTTTATATGCTTTAATCTGTACACCCCCAAAGTATATCCTTTTGTTTGTTTATATTTATCTCAGGATGCTGTTGATCACAAGTTTTTAACTTGATCTAAATTAAATGTTTTGCACTGTAGGCTGTATATGTATCGGATTTCTTCAAAGAAAGAACTTCTTTTAAAGAAAGAAAAGAGGAGGACTCTCACACAACTCTGCATGAAACATCAACAACGGGGAATCACTATCAGAGCAATCACCAGCCTTGAAGGGCAGCGGGGTGCCCAGGTGAAGCTGTGTTTTCTAAAGGAAAAGGATTGCCACATGGCAAGAGGATGCATCTTTCTTCCCAGTGTATAAGCCTTTAAAGACTGCTACTGCTGCTATGCCTCTTGGATGCCCACTTTGTGTGTACATAGTTACCTTTAACACAGTGGTTATCTAATAGCTCTAAATTCATTTAAAAAACTCCAAGCCTTCCACCAAAACAGTGCCCCACCTGTATACATTTTTATTAAAAAATGTAATGCTTATGTATAAACATGTATGTAATATGCTTTCTATGAATGATGTCTGATTTAAATACACATATTAAAATGTATGGGACAACCAAATCCACACTTGCAGGCATTTGTAGTCAACTGTAATCAAACAGGTGGTGAATAATTTAAAATCTCACATTCCTTTAGCTGACTCTACAAGTAGAGGCTGGCAGCAAACACAATATCTCTCTTGATTTTGGTGATTCCTAAGAGAAAAGAAAGTAAGGTTTAAACTTTCAAGACCACAAAACACCTAACTTGTCTCTACCGAAGTTTTAAAGCCAGTATACCAACCCCGATTCAACTGGTGAGAGAGCAGCCTGGAAAGTCAAACACCCTGCTGAACACCTAGAGGAATCTGCAGCTACCTCAGTGAGGTGGAAAACAGAAGCCAGACCCCCATTCTTTTGACTCTGAAATACTCCATGGGGGCTGGTCAGGAAGGCGGTATCTAGAACTGTTTAAAAAGATAAATTCTAGGTCGGGGGCGGTGACTCATGCCTGTAATCCCAGCACTTTGGGAGGCCGAGGCGGGAGGATCACCTGAGGTTGGGAGTTCAAGACCAGCCTGACCAACATGGAGAAACCCCGTCTCTACTAGAAATACAAAATTAGCCAGGCGTGCTCGTGCATGCCTATAGCTACTCGGGAGGCTGAGGCAGGAGAATCACTTGAACCTGGGAGGCAGACGTTGCAGTGAGCTGAGATAGCACCACTGCACTCCAGCCTGGGCAACAAGAGCGAAATATATGTGAATACCACTCTGTTTCCACAAAAAAATAAAAATAATAAAAATTAAAAATTAAAAAAAAAAATAAATTCTAGGAAGGACTAAACTGTCTAAAGAAATGTAAATCCAAAGACTTGGATTTTCAAACTATATCAGAAGACACTGTTTTTTTCAGTTCCCATGTTAAAGTCTTTCTAGGCTTAGGAAGGGCAAATACAAATTTTGATTACAAATTATTTTTAAAACTTTGACACCTACACTTCAACTCTGAGTCATTAAACAGGCCTGCATTTATCAACAATGTGGAAATATAAGCCAGCTTTTGCAAACCTCTTCTTAGGACACTAAGTTGTTAATAGAAATCACTAGCATTGACTGACTCAGCAACCATGTGGTTACTATTCTTTGATACTTTAACTTAGTCCTTTTTCTTGGTCAAGATTCAGTAGACATGACAAAACTATTTACAGACATGCTTATGCCCCTTGTCCCCCCACACCACCCCATTACTACTACCTTGGTTTAGCCATCCTTTCTTGATCTGGTCTCCCCGCTTCTACTGTGCTACTCTACAGACTTGCCCTGAATGTAAGAGCAAGAATTACCTTGTAAAGTCCAAGTTAGGGCAGGTCACTCCCAAGCTCCACACCTCCAATCACTGCAGAGTTGAGAAGCCTGCGGCTAGGAACTATGGAATACTTTACTTTCTCACTTCAACCCCTACTACTTTACTCACCGCCCATTCTACTCCAGCCATAATGGCCTCTTGCTGGTGTTCATGTATATTAAGCATACACCAAGGGGCTTAATTGCCACCTTCCCTGTGGAGGCCCTAGACCATTGTCTCCATCTGCCAATTCTATTGTCTTTTCTGCTTATAGACTTTATCACCATCTGATAAATTTAATTGTTGACTTATTGTCTATCTCCCCACACTAGAATGTAAACTCCATGAAGGCAGGGGTGTCTTTCTGTTCACTGTATTCCCTAGTGCTCAAAACAATGCCTGGCATGTAGTGTACAATTAATATATGTAAATGGATGTATATGTAAAATCTCAACTTTTCCCCCAACACACTAAATTTTATAGAAACACCAGTAGATAGCTCTCCATGACAATGCAGTGAAGAACATCCCAAAATGTCCTCCTGGGTTGTGGTCCAGGGCTCAAGATTTGCTTCACAAAATTGGTCTAAATTAGAAACAGCTTATGCATTTGATACTGACCTTCTGCAAATTTATTTTCCAGCTCAGTGTTTCCAATGGCTTTTGCTGCTTGACACATTTGTCGAAGCAATTCTTCTAGGCGCCTCATACAACGAATTATGCTGCCTGGATAGAAAAGAAACAAAACACCGGTAAAATGGAAATAATCAGGAACAGCAGAATTTTTGTTAAGAGGCAAGGCAGGAGAACACAGGATAATACTCTGAGGGACTTCCCATGAAGTAAATCAGGTAGCAAACCTGTTAGGTACTGGGGAAGGCTACAAAGATGAAAGGCTTAACTCCCACCTTTGACTAATGGTAGAGAAATACCTGTTTACTACTAATGTGCTGACACCTGGTATTAAGCAGGAAAACAAAATGCCCTAGGAGGAGGGAGCAACTTTGGGTGAAGGCTGCAAGGACGACATAATCTGTGTAAGAACCAAGCAGTATCAACAAGGGAAGGACCACCATGACAATGCAGAAAAGCCTGGCAAACCGCAGCCATTCAAGGACCCTGAGTGGCCCAGTGAGGCATCTGGACACCATACCATCTCATAGAATGCAACAGACTGTTTTTAGCAGGAGAGTAACAAGATAAAATTTGTCATTTTAAAGGTGCATTCATTTTTCTTGACCTTAGATTCTTTCATTAGTGCGTTCTTTACAGAGTGTTTTCAAGGAGCACAAGGAAAGAAGCCTTTTCCCATGGGTCTAGAATCTGTCTGAAAAAAGTGTATCAAAGCTGGAGCTATAAACATAGTTTCACTTTTGCTAGACTTGTGCAAAGAGGGGCAGAGATTGTGAGATCCTTTCTCTAAAATGCTTGTGACTTCATTTTTAATATATGAAATACATTAGGAATACCAGTTCTCAAAATGCAATCTGTAGGAACAACGAACTATTTACACTATTATTAAATTAATAATAATTATTTGTTATTTCTATTCTCAGCTGCTAGGAATGCAGGCTCCAATACTGACTTGCAATGAAACAGGAAATCCAATTGCAGAAACTTCTGGGTGTCAAGAGAGAGGGTAGGAACTGGGATAGAGAGGGTAATGTCATATACTTATACAATCAGATATTAAATGTTTATGCAAACAATTATATCCAAAGAGAATTAAATTAGGTAGTGGCTCAAAATATAACCAGATTTTTACCTGAGACGAGATTCTCACAGATCATTCAGGATTGAAATGAAACCCTTTACAAAGTCCTCTGCTGCGTAGGACATTAAAGAGCCAGACACATTCTCAAACATTGTTTTGACTGACTTCAAATGTGTACCAAGAAACACAATGTGATACTGTACATTATTTCACAAATTTTAGTAACTCGTGTTAACCAGAATCTGCAAAAGTTATCAGAGACCAAGCCATTCAAAGTAAATTACTAAGATAAAAAGTAAGGCAAGTAAATGCACATTCAGGCCAGAGAGCACTGTCATGTCACATTTTGTAAACATTTCGATTCAATTTCTGGAAAATTTAGTTTTGACACAGTTTCAGGTAACAAGCAAATTAGGCCACTGGGCACAAGGTTGCATATACAATGGCTGTGGTTGTTGCCCACAGAGTCTCATCAACAAATCACTGGGTGTGTGCATAAACACCAACTGTCCACAGCTGCCTGAAACATAGAGGCTACCCGCCCAGGGATTAATGAAGACTAACGACTAAGTAGTGAATTCTCTAGCATCTCTCCTACCTACTATGGTTCTCTGTAATCCAAGGGCTCTCCTTACGCCCAGCTTTGGAAGTCATCCTGCCTCATCAGCCTGACTAGGTGCTAGACAAAAGTTTTAAAGCCATGACCCATCATAGGCTAAATGAAGCTGACCAAAACCGAAACAAAACCAAACTACATTAACCTACTGGTTTGTTACAATTTTTTTCTTTTTGGTCCTGCCAGAGTAGAAAGAGAAATCCAATTCTTTCTAGTTACTGTCTTTAAAAAATTTTTCAAATAGTGGTAACATATAAAACATAAAATCCACCTTTTTAACCATAAAGTATACAATTCAGTTACTGCCCTTTTTTATATTGAGGTTTACTACATTCTGGAAAAACTCACATGGAGATAGAATTCACACACCATAAAATTATTTTAAATAAGTGTACAACTGAGTGGTTTTTAGTATATTCAGACTTGTGTAACCATCATCATTATCTAATTTTAGAGCATTTTTACCACCCCCAAAAAACCCTGTTCCCATTAAAGCAGTTACATGTCTTCTGGACAGCCCGTGGCAACCACTAATATGCTCTGTCTCTATGAATCTGCCTATTCTGGACATCTCATATAAGTGAAATTATACACTATGTGGCCTTTGTGTCTGCCTTCTTTCAACTTAATGTATTCAAGGTTTGTCCATATTGTAGCATGAGTCAGTATGTCTTTTCTTTTTTATAACTGAAAGCTGTTCCATTTAATCTTTATTAAAATGGAACACCTTGCCATTTAGAATGGCAAAAACCAAATTTATTTTGCACCAACCTAATATATACCACACTTTATTCATCTATTGATGGACACTTGGAACTATATGCTTTTATTATAAGAGCAATTTTAATAAACATCACCATTACCCGGTTGATGAACAAAACAGCATCATTCTCATTAAGGACAGTAAGCAGCAGATTTTCCAGAACAGAATTTCTGCCTTCAGCTTTCTGGCATACCCTAAAGCAGTTTCCCACAGTTCATGCTCTGACCCTAATACTCCTGTCTAGCTTGGCCTGAGGTTAGAATCACACATGTATCTTGCAACTACTTACCGCCCAGCTTAGGCTGAACCCTTTCTTGAGAGCAGAGACTGCTGCTCACACTGTAACTAGCACGGTGCCTGATTCCCACTAGGGTCTCAGCATTATTCATCAAATGAGTAAGTATCAGGTACTCAAATTGTGCCAAAATGTAAAGACAGAAACAATTACTAATAAATTGTTACTCTATTATTATTAGCAATAATACTTTTAAAAGACAAATCCACTGGAAAACCATTCATGACACTGATGATGCTAAGAAAGGGTTAAACTGCTACTTGAAAGGCATGTGAGAGAATGTGTGGTGGGGACAGAGTTGAGAAATGCACCTCACAGCATTTGCTTTCAAAACATGTGGCATACAGA